AAAGTCTAGTCCAATCACATCATTCATAGCTGTGGAAATAGATGCTCATAGATCAGGCCACGATCGAGTAGAGCTCAGACATCATAAAAGGCCTGGGTTCCTTCCTCACTGCCCAGCTTTATTCAAGTGAAGGTATGATGGTTCATGCCTGTACAGGTCCATGCCTTCACATATATTACAAGCAGGGGGACAGAGTCATCTAAATCTGTTTTTTGTTTTTAATGCTCTGAAGAAATACAATATTTATGTTATAAAATCCAAACTACTTTGATCAACTAGGAAAAATATCTATAACAATATAACGTTTAAGACAAATTTTGGTAAAGCAAAAGTGACACTGGTTCGCAAGCACAAAAATCACTGCTGGTGATCCTTACGGGAACACTGAAAGCAAACGTGGAGAGGACAGTTGGAGTGGAAGTCATGGGGGAGTTGTGTGCATGGCAGTTCTCTTTGTTTTTGTTTTTGTTTTAGACCACTATCTAGGTCACAGGCCGACACCTGTAATGAAAGTGTCCACCTATAGGTGGCAAACTTATACTGCTGGCATTCTGTCCTTGAGTGCCCTTGCAAACCAATGTCACAGTGGATGGAGAGGAAAGTGAAATTTAAAGAAAGGAAAGAAAAAACTTAAAAGGATCCAGAAATGACATTCTCATGCAAACTTACAATGAAAGCAACACCACGTAATTTCACAAAACATTTAGTCCAATTCATCTGCAAAACACCTCATGGAATTGTACCAAATGCATCTATCTGAAATCTATTTCCGGAGTCCCTACAACATAGCAACCCCTGGCTTGCGGTAAAAAAAGGACCCACATCGCTGCCTTCAGACCCCTGACAGGCTGGTGACCTTCCACAAGCGAGTGCTTCCAGCAATAGCTCTCATTTGACAGCAGTGGTTGTGCTTGATTTTACAGATAAGGAAACAGAAGCTCAGAGACACCAAGGGGAGTGGCAGCAGAGACTGGAGCCCAGCTCTTTGGATTTCAAGTCCTGTCTCTGTCAGCCACTGTATGCTGCCCCAAACGTAAGGCAGAAAGTGACAAAATAATTCTGTTGGGGTTTATCATTCACAAAGTAGCCCCAGCTGGTTCTTCCGGAGCCTTTCTGAATAGAGTGGCCCCAGCTGCCCCAGCTAACCCAGACTCACTCCCTAACCGTGGGATGGGGAGTGCTTCCCAGAGTGCGGGCTGGACCTCCTGGGACCCCTAGGGAAGGTAATAAAGAATCTAATTTATTAGCTAGGAAAAAAAATCCCTCCACACTACTTAAAAAAAAAATCTCTGGATATAATTCAATCTTTTAAAATGTGTTTAATTAGAACAGTATTAAATGACTATTTAAACATATAAAGAGGGTAAACCTACTCCTCGCTCCTTTCAAGAGTTTCCTGTGTATGATTCCAGGATTACTGCTACATATTTACATAGATGTGGATGTGTAAGCGTGCATATAGAGAGAGCTGTCTTCACCCACTTCATATATCATTCTGCTACTTGCTCTTTTTTGTTGACCAATGTACCTTGCAGAGCCTACAGTAGATACATGCCGCTCGGTTAATGTGGCGCGGTGATCTGTAGTCTGGATGTGCCTTAGTATATGCGCCACTCCCCTACTGGTGGGTATTTAGGTTGCTTCTGCTTTTCACTATTCCAAACAGTTCTGTAGTGAAATCCTTTTACATATAACCGTGCACACATGCAAGTATCCCTGAGGGATAAATCCCTAAAAAGGAGATTGTTGGAACAAAGCATATACACATTTTACATTTTTATAAAAGCTGTTGAATTGTCCCCCATGAAGGCTGGACTCACTTTTTTGTTGACTCTTTCCATCTTTTTTTTTCCTTTCTCTCTTACTAACTTTCTAGTCTCATCCTACACTCTGAGTCACTTTTATCCCATGTTCTAACTTTAACCTTAAAGTCTTCCTTCTCCCTCCTTTTCCCACATCCAGTTCATCAGAAAGCCCTGTTGGATATCCCTTCAAATATGTACAAAATCCAACCACTTCTCACGATCTCCAGTGCTAGCATCTCATCAAAGCCACCGTCATCTCTCTCCTGGATCCTTGTATAGCCTCCCACCCATCTCCCTGCTTCTGTTCTTGCCTCCTTCAAACTATTCGCAACACAGCAGCCAGAGTGACCCTGCTGACAGCAGTCAGAGGGTTGCAGCCCTCTGCTCAACACCCCTCACCAGCCCCTCTCTTCACTCAGAGAAACGTCCTCACAGTGGCCTCCACACCCCAGCGATCTGCCCCTCTCTCCTCTTTTCCTCTGTTTTCCCCATCCCAGCTCTGTTCTACTCCAGACACCAATCTACCTGCTATTCAGTGAGCACCCTGGGTGTGAACCCCTCTTTGGGTCTTTGCTCCGGCAGCCCTTTCCTCCAGACATCACTTGACCAACCCCATCCCCTTCAAGTCAGCTCAGGTTGCACTTTCTCAGCAAAGCCACCTTGACACTCCTACTCCATCTTGCAAACCAAATGCCCCCTCTGGCTCCCTGGACTCTTGGCTCATTTTTGTTTTCCCACAGCACTTACAACCCTCTTACCTACTATGTAATTAACTTTTATCATGTTCATTGTCTGTCTCCCCCATCTGAATGGAACTGCCACATAGGTGGGGATCTTTGCTGTTTTGTTCCCTGAAAATTCCCAAGTACACAGAGCAGTGGCTGGTACTCAACAGAAGCTTATTAAATATCTATGGAACTGGAATTGCCATCCATCCCTCTGTTGCAATTATGAAACAGCTTCCCAGAGGTGTGGTTTTGACATTGAGGCATTTCCTTGGAGATGATGTTGTTCTATGGCTTTTTGAAAATAAGTTTTAGACAGGAAAAATGGAAACATCGGGCATCATCAAAATCTAAAGTTTTTGCTATATGAAGGACCCTAGAAAGGGGTTGAAAAGACAATCTGAGGAGACAATACTTGCAAGTCACATATCCAATAAAGAGTTTATATACATAGAATACATAAAGAACTCTCAAAACTAACAGTGGAAAAAAACCCCATAAAATCCAAGGAAAAAATTCACTGGCAACCAGGGTTAACCACTGAAACGTGATCATTCCCATGAGGTCATAATAAACATTTCCTGACGTGTGTCACACAGCCTAGAATCAACAAGGAGGGTAGTGTTGGCCCAGTGAGAGCTACACCGCTTAGCACCTTTGTGCAAATTAGGAAAAAGATGCCCTCCCTGAGCAGAACATAGGACTGAGTCATGGCTGAATTTCAGTCTTGACCTGCCCGAGTAGGGCACAACCTCCCCAGCTGAACCCAGAAGCTCAAGAACCAAGTTCAGGAACACTAACTCAGCCCCTCCTCACCTTTACACTGACTCCATCAGTGACTTGCAGTGTTTCTAAGAGCAGTCACTTGGCCCTTTTGTGACACAATTTTTTTCCTGGATCCCAGTAAAAACTATAAAATACTTAGTAGGTACAAGGTATTACAAACCCATCCTGCTACAAGTTTCTTTTTTTGTTACCATGACAGTGGTGCCCATACTCATCAGGATGAGCAGGTCACCCGGCTCTAGGACAAGCTCAGGCCGTTTTGGTTTTATTTAATGAGGAAGGGGGAGCTCTGGCTACTTTTGTCCCTGTTCAGTCTTCGTCTTCCAGGGCGGTGGTCTGTGACTCACCGGCCAGCATTCATGACCTGCTGTCGGGGGCCTGAGGCATCCATTCTCTTGAGCTGAATGAGAACATCTGACTTTCTCTGTCAACCTGCAGTGGAACACACCTCTCAGAGTTTCTGCACTATGCGATACCAGCTCCGGACATTTCTCTTTCAGTGCTCATGTCTGTCAGCTAGTCTGAAAATTGGAAGCAGAAACACTTGACAAATCACTGGCCACATTATGGTTACAGGTGGTGACATATTGCTGCTGCTGCTGCTGCTGCTGCTTATTCATGAAACTGGAGGTTAAGACTCCGTTTCTGAGATGTAAAGTAGGGAAAACCCCACATAAAGCCCCAGCGTTGGACAGAATAGCACATAGACAATTTCCACCTGAAATGCTGGTTATTAGAAGTCATGTGGAGTCAGGAGTTGCCATGGAATCCATTTGTTTCTAAACCGGCTCCTCCTGTTGGAATAGTTTTTCATTATCATGTCTTTCTTATAAGAGAAGAGAGGCAGAGAGAGAGAGACAGATGAGGGTGTTATCTGATATAAAACTATGTTATAATCTTAATACACTCAAGCCCTGAGATGAATAAGAAATTAAAAATTTTAAGGAGGGTTAGTATCAGCTTTAACACAGATTTGTATCGCTGTCTCGTTTGGAGTAAAACAATCACGTTGCCATCATGTGACTTCTGATTATTCAGGGAGAATACACAGTGGCTTATCATATGACATTTATCTTCACAAACAAGTTATCAGATCTCCACCAGTGCAAGCAAACATCAGAGCAGATCCAAACCAGACAGGCAGCACACTTGCCGCACACTTGCTTCCCTGTTTTCTCCTATGTATCATTGTTATTCACATTCTTAACCACACCGTTACTGTTTTTCCTCCTGTGAAACTGCCACCAGGCTGTCTATCCCCATGTTCCCCCCAAGTTATTTGCTCAAATCATGTGAAGTGATTGGCTGGCATATGTTAATGCTTGAGCTGTTTTTGTGATAGAGACCCCACTTGTTTGTAGGTAAAATACAGAAACAGGTTGATCAAATATCAACTTGGGACAACTGAATTTCAAAACATACAGAATCCATAAATTAACCACTGTCTTAACATATGTACAATCTAACTGACTATAATTAGGCAGGATATCTGTTGGATGAAGACACATTAAAATTATATTTGTATATTTATCTTTTGTGTTTTGCACTAAAGAATATTGACTGTTTCACGTAAAGGAAAAAAAGTGTCTGTTGATGACACCAGAGCCTTGAACCTGTATTTCTGATTGTCTCCACTTCCCAGAGTTTTGATGAGCTCTCCTGCAGGGGTTCAAGAAACTCTTACCTCCATTAAAAGCCAGGTCCCACCTCTTTCTCTGGCCCTGGCCCCTGGCCCTCAAACCTCTTCAGAGCCAAGAGGGCCCCACCCTTAAATGTTTCTGGAAAGACAATTCAAGAGGAGATAAAATTTAAAATTCCTTAGGCATATGAAAAGATGTTCAACCTCCATAATAAAAGAAAAATGAAAAGTAGACTGATTTTTTTTCACCTATCAGATTGGCAAAAAAAAAAAAAAGGTTATAATGCGTTTCATTGCCAGACTGTGAGGAAACAGCCACCTTCAAGCATTGCTGGTGGGAGTGACAATTAGCACAACTTCTGTGGAGAGCAATTTGACAATATCTGTTAGGAGCACAAATCCACATATTCTTGACCTAGCAACTCCACTTTTGGGAATCTGTCCTTGGTTACACTGGTACGAAGGTAACTGTCATGTGTCCAGGGTTGTTCACTGCTGCATTGTTTGTGATCGCAATGAAGAGGAACAACATAAATGCCCTCAGTGGGTGACAGGTTAAATAAATTATACTGATATATTCTCAAAGCAGAATGCTATACAGATGTTTAGGAAAGAAAGAATGAGGAAGCTGTCATGGAAAATGAAAAAAATCAAGGTTCAGGACAGTGTACAAAATACCAACCCTAACGTTTGCTTGAACATGCATAAAGCAACTCTAAAAAGATAATAAGAAATTAAATGTTGTATAATAGTGGACACCAACTGGCAGCCCAAAGATGCATTTGCTTGGTTTGCATAGCTTTTTAAAAATTGGGTTTCACTTAATCTGATACTCAAGTAAGGAAAAAATGTGAGGCAGGCCAGATGTTAAGATAAGAAATGATGCTGGTAACCTAATCTGTCTGGATTTCCCACCCAGCTTTAGGGTCACACCTTGGACGTAAAGCCGGGTGGAGGGACTCTGCAGTGAGGCTGTGACGCACGGATAAATATTCTGGTCCCAAGTCTCTCCCCAGGTTTCCTAAAGAGGTCGAGGAGCTGCAGCTGGGAAAAGGCGCCCCTAGCAGCCCCAGCCTCCCAGGTGCGCCAGAAGCAGCACTGGTTTATCCATTTGTCACAGTAGGCATGGAGCCTAGGGCTCATGATGATTTCAGGAGCCCACAAAATATTTTAATTTTAATCTCTTTTACATTCAAAAGGAAAAAATAAATATAAATGAATATATGACAATGATTCCAGCCTGAATTACATTCATCTTTATACTGACCTCACTGTAAAATACAATCTTTAGTATTTTTTCATGGAGGAAGGGGTTCCTAAAAATATGACAAAAGTGCCCAAGGACTGACAAAGTCACAATGTACTAATGTGGCCCTGCACAGCAGGGAGCACACAACGCCTGAGAGGAGGCCTGGACCTCACAGCCCTAGGCCCCAGGCAGGACCTCTTCCCCTAGGGACAGCCCCCCTGTACCAACACCACACACATCTTGGGCCCTTTATGTTTAAGGAGTTTGGCAAAATTAGGGAACAGTTTCAAGGCCAAAAGGTGAATCAGTGCTTATCTGCTGTTATTCTAGTGTGTCCCACTCTGGGTGGATTGACCCATACTCTCTGGACTTCTTCCCCAGCTAGAACCCTGGAATCCTAGAACCTTGTAGGGGTGCTCTGAGCACTTCCCTGTCCTCTTGAGGCCAAACTCCCCACTGAAAGGTGGCCTGGCTTAGTTCCCCTGCCTCCTTTCCCTCATCCTGAGGCCACCATCTTCTTTCCTAAGGAGGTAGAAATGACCCATCTTCAGAGACCCCACCCTATCCCCACCATGAGCCTAGATGTCTTATCATTTTATGCCATATGCCCAAGGTCCTACAATAGGTTTTCCACTTTAAATATTTTCCCTTCTGACAGTCTTCTCCTCCAAAGACAAGCTGAGAATAAGCAGACTAAATCTATGGTTCTCAAAGTGTGGCCCCCTGACTGACGCAATAGCAACATCTGGAAACTTGTTAGAAAGGGTCCCATCCCATATCGATTGAATCATAAACTCTGGGGGAGGGGACCAGCAATCTGTGTTTTCACAGGCCCTCCAGGCATTTCTCGTGCAAGCTCAAGTTCCCAAACTACCAGCTAGCAGCAAGGATACCCAAATTTTCCAGGGCAGACTCTCCAGTCCTCTGGCTCAGAAGTGATGAGTCGAGCTAGAGGGGGACTCCAGGGAATGTGTCCCAGAAGCCAGAGGCTCTTGGTCCCCAGCGCAGATGAAAACAGAGGTATTTCGCGATCATCCTGGGGTGACGCCAAAAGGCAAGTGTGGGCGGCAGCTCTCTAAGTTTGGCGGCGCCTTCAGCCGAGTTAAGTCAGGGCGGCCGTCTAAGGTTGGGGTTCGGGGCAAGGTCCGGGCCGCCGTCACCGCGCGGTGGGAGGTGGCGCCCGCGCCCCTTTCTCTGAGCTCGTCCTCAGCTCTGCTTCTGCGGCTCGGACCACCCCTGCTCCTCCCCTACCTTAGGAATGCCAACTCCAGAGTCCAACAGGGGTTTCCAATTCCTAAATCAGAGAGGGGCACGTATTTAAAAGCCGCGCTCCGCTAATAACTCCACCCTAGGGGACCCCGGGGCTCAGCCAGGTCTGGAAGTTCATCATTTGTTTATGGATTAGAGGGATCCACCTCAAGAGAATGCCTTACCTACTCCGCCTAGGGGGTCCTTTTCAGGCGCTCGCGGCAGTGTCCCGGAGTACATTGGTCCCAGGAGTTAAACTCAAAGCTGGGTCTCAGGGAAGGGGAAACTCTCCAGAAACCTAATTCAAAGCCTCTCAAAGCAGGATGGTGAAGCACAAGTCCTCTGAACCCACTCAGGTCTGATGCCCCTAACTCTTTTCGAGGCCACTGACGCCTCTCTGCCCCCTTCCGGCCACTGGCGTCCCCTAGCTCTCCCGGCCACTGGGACCTGGCGTGCACTCCTGCAGTGCACTGAGAGCAGCATTTGGCCTGAAATTCGGAAACCGACTTAAAAATTAAAGTGTTGGGGTTTTCTTGGGCATGAGCACCTGTCCTCCTTGCTCAGCCCTGCAATAAACCTTTCTCTGCTCCAAGAAAAAAAAAGAATTAAAGTGTCTTTCAACCCCAAGTCGCAAACCAACGTTCATCTTCAGCTTTTGAACACGTTGGTTGTGCTTCTGTGCCCTGCTTTGCTGAACTGTACACACACTATCCGCAGCTCTATTTCTCGAAAGGAAAGGTCTGAAAAGTGTCAGCGCCCCGGGCAGCAGGCACCCATGCTCTCCTGTCCTCAGAAAGCGTAGCATCAGTTTTTTAGCTACTATTGATGTTTGAACAATTCAATTCTTTTAAAGTGGGCCCAGTTTAAGAAGCACTCTTGTTTCTCAGGGACCAATTCAAGGTTATATTAGACTAAGGTTTCAAAATTTGGGTGGAAAATATTATCCAGAATATTTAGAGAAACTACACAAAATTCTTACTTTTGTTTGCCACTCTCATTTTTTAAGTTGGCACATTTTCTTTACCCTTCCTTCCTTCCTTTTCTCTCCTTCCCTTCCTTCCTTTCTTCTTTTCAGTATGTAACGACTGAAGCTAATTTTTTGGACATTTTAATGGTCAATTCAGGCAGGCACCTGAGAAGTAGTACCTCAGAAAAAAATGTACTCTCCCAAATGGCCTCATCAAACAAGTAATATTTATCCTGATTTTAAAAACATTAAATATGGCCTTATTTTTTGAGATTCTTCCTATCCTTTGTTTTCCAGCAGACTCGCCCCTCCGCGTCAAAGTTATCAGGGGCCCTTGTTTCTGCTTCAACATCACAACGTCTAAATGTAATAAAATGGGGCTAGAGCAGGATTCACTTGCATGGAAGAAGAAAAATGGTAGTATTTCCTGAGACATTAGTATTTTCCTAGATAAAGTCTCCTTTCCAGCGGTAAAGAGTGAACATCTGAGATATTTAAGTGACCATCTTCAGATTTTGCACTTTTTTTTTCCGGTTTGGGGGAGGAAGGTAATAAGCTTTATTGATCTTTGACGGAGGTACCGGGGATTGCACCCAGGGCCTATCTGCATGCTAAGCATGCAGGCTACCACTGAGCTATGCCCTCTTCCCCCGGTTTTGCCTCTTGATTAGAAATATATCCTTCATCCAGACGTTGGCCATTGTGTAAAATCTGCACCTGTATGCTGTGTACAATTGTGTATATGTGATATGCAAGAGTGTAAAAGCTTGTGTGGGTCCATAGCAGCCTGTTGTTTTTTAAAGTATGTTATGAGGGGCGATGTGGGAGACAGAGTGTATTCTAATTTTGATAAGATGTTGAAGCAGCAACGCGCATAAAGGAGTTACCAGAAGGCAAGATAGAGGTCTGTGCCCGAAGCAGAGGTCGCGGCCGCTGTGCTGAAACTAGTTCTGCGGTTTGCACGGTAATTCCGCTGGGCATTCACTCGTTCTTTTACAATCCAAGGGTTCAGCTTCCCTAGTCATGACTTTGCCTAACGTTGAGAGAGGTCGGGCGGCCCTCGCAGGCCCCATCCTATGCGTTCCGGGCGCGCGCATCGCGCGGGACTCCGCACGCACGGGCGTGTACGTTCTCACTTCCTCCACGGCGGGCACGCCTTGCCCCCGGGACTTGCATGCAAGGAGTGGCGTCCAGGGTGGCTGAGGGCGGGATGCAAAGGGGCGGGATCCAGGGGGGCAGTCCCAGAGTGGGAAGAGACTCCCAAGGGCACGATGTCGCGGTCACTCTGGGGTGTTTGCCTTCCTAGTTGGGGGTTGGGAGGAGGAGGAAGATGTTTATAGATGGGCTCCGGTTTCTTCCCGCTTTAGGATCGCGTTCCAGGACCGTGTAGACAGCCCCCGAGGGCCAGAGGGCTACAGTTTGAGGCACCCGCCCAAGAAGGCGGCAGCCTAGCCACTATTAGGATTCCTGATTGGTGTTGGTGGGTAGCGTGTGCCCGTCTTTTTCCTTTCTGGGGCTTTTCCCTTTACATTGGCAAAGAGGTGGGTGGGATTAGACTCAAGAAACTGATTAAAAATTCCTGCTGCTAGAGACGAACACCGATTCTGCGAGCACGTGGGAGGCCCCCGAGGCTCCGGCC